CAGGAGCCAGTCACTTTGATTTATGGGCATAGAATGCCAACTATCTGACGTCGGCCTAATTAGTTCTTCTTTTGTTGTTCTTGTTTTTCTGTTTGAGTGTTAGTGTGTTGCGCAGTCAGCCTCTGCACCCAATTTCCTCATGGGATGATTCATGTTGCCTTGCAGACCACTTGGATTTCTAATTCCTATTTTAATTTTTTTTTTAAAATTGTTTTCTTCTCCCTTCCTTCTACAGCAAAGGGCATTTCGATGCTGTAGGCGAGCCTTGAGAACTTTGTTGTGCAAAGCATCAGTTTTGCCCTCCAACCCTTTTCAGATCCATCCATCTGGCAAACAGCCCCTCTCTGCTGCCTGTGTGGCACTACAGCATCCTGCCCCCAGAGGTCTCTCAGACGTTAATTCCAGTTGCACAGTATGTGCAGTGTGTTAAGTGTGCAGCAGAACGGCACAGCAGAAGACACCTTCAGGCTTTCTCTTCATCTCTCTGTGATGTAGGGATAAAAGTTGGAATTTATCAGAGCTTTTGAGAAATGCCACGTAGATTAATGAAACTGGACACAATGCATTTAGGCTTGAAAGTGTGCTTTCAAGAAACTCCAGTTGTTTTGTAGCAGGGCAAATCCTTGAGAAGATATGAGATTACGCTCTTCTGCTTCTTGTCTTGAAAACAATTAGGTTCTCAGCTGGTGGGGTTTTGCTTTTGCGAATGTCCCATTTCAAGACGTTGCACCCAGGAGAAGATTGTTTTGTTACACCTTTCTTTTGAATGAAAGGCAGTTTGGAGCAGACAGATTTCTTTATTTTCCCTGCGCTTTTCAGACAAACCCCAGACCAAGAGCAGATTGTGTGGCCTCCTGCTGAGAACAGAATAAGGTGACACAAATAAACAGATCAGTGTGGCAATAGCTTTATTACACAAGAGTAGAAAGATGCTTTGCTGCAAGAAATGTATATCACAGGAGTGGCCCTGTTAGTGAGGGGAAGGTCTTAATGATCAAAGGAATGGAACATGAAGTTATAGGAAATATGTCTGGAAGGGCCAGTTTCAGAGAACTCCTGTAGGACATTCAAGCTTCTAGCTTTTATCGTTCTTAGAAGACTATTGGACTTGGCAGATGTGTAGAGGAGTGGTTAAGGCCCTGGGCTTGTAATTAGAAGGTTGTGGGTGCAACTCCCAGGCTGATCAAGGCACTTCACTGTTCAAGGCAAAATATCCAGCTGTTTAAATGGCTGGATATTTTGTTTAAATGGGGACACACACAAGTCACTTTGGATTTTGAGCCCAAGAGCCCAAGTAAAGGTAGTGGATTTTGTTTGGTTAGAAGTTGGTCCAGCTGTTCAAAATGGGTAAAAAAAGAAAGGATTTGTTTTCTGTGGATGTAGCAGGCTGTCACCTAGAGGCGCTGTGGGTGATGAGCCTTGGATTCTCACTTGCCAAATTGCCAAGGATAGCCTGCAGAGAATTCTGAAGCCTCGATTCTGTAGGTGAGTGGGCTTTCACCTGCAATTAGGAATCAGGATTTTCTTGCAAGGAAGAAAGGAGATGAAAATGGAATGTCAAGTGTAATTTCCTTTAATTCTTAATGCCCCAGGGACTGTGGATATGCCATGAACAAATTGTGAGTTTAACCTCAGTTGAACTGTAGCGTTTCAGTGGGAGTCATTATTACTCCGTCTTGTCTGTGCACAACAACTCACCACAGATGCACACTTGCCTGGCTCTGCGTCGTTTGCCTTGCCTCTTGCTGTTTCGAGAAGTCTGATTATCAGATTAATCATCCTCAGAACGCTAGGAACCCGTGACACAATCTACCAACTGAATATCCAACTTGATTTACGAGTTCATTAAGAGCGGCGATGACTTCATATCTGGGCTATGTTTCCATGTGGGCTTTTCCTCTTACATTTTTCCAATTAAATTAGTGCCGGCTCCTCTCTCACACGCACAGTGCAGTAAATGAAACAAAAAAGAACACAAAAGCCATAGCAGGGCACTGACTATTAACAACACTACAAACCGTGCATAGTTAATCACGTTGTCACGATAAATAAGACAGCAGCAGCATTTTCTTACTTAACCTTTAAATTCTTAACGGCAGTCCTTTTTTGGAACACATTTAGTAAACGTAACTTTACAGTTGTTTTTAATTTGTGTTTTTAGATTTTTCTCTTTTTTTAATCCAACTGAATAAAGACTACAGAGCATTCTCTTCTGCTCGTTTGTACCAAACCAGTAGAAAGGAGTCAGGTGAAGTCCAGCTAAGTTTAAGATGTGGGCGAACTTAACAACGGGCCACGTTCACATGCCGGAGTGTGGTACAGTGTTTTCATTCTTCTGGACAGCAAGTGCAAAATCAAGACAGCGATGCAGACGGTTTGTGAATGTGTCTGGTATGGGTTTGATATTTCTCTCAGGACAGGCCTGAATAGCTGGGTTAGGTTTTTATTCAGTTCTCTGCTAGAGGCCCTTATAGTCTAAACCTTGTCACGCTCAACAATTATAGTGCACATTAAACTGGCTTTGCATTTTCAATGTTTTTGTGAGAGTAAAAAATATGGGCATTTTCTTCAGCATAAATGAAAGCAGCTATACATGACCATGACCTGTGTATAAATGAAGATTTCTGAGTTATAAAGCCCAGTGATTGCAGTGGATTGCCCAAGGTGATCTTCCCAAAGAATAATGGGGTCCGCATAATGGAGGCAGTGGTAAACACAGAAGCCTTTCACTGTCTGTCCCATTTGCAGATCAGAATGTGACAGGGGATGATGCAGTGTGTGTTCCTAGACACAGCGCACTCTTTTTCACTCAGTTGCAAACAACCAGTACATTCACTCTGCAACACATAAGACAGATCGCAGAGGTGCAGCTGTGCCACTTTTTAAATCACAGCTGAAGTAGACCTGGTATTAAGGAAAGAGAGGTTTATATCCTAGCTCTTTAATCCATATTTTGTAAATTGTTATAGAAAATGTTGTCCCAAATGTTGAGCTCAGCAGGGATAACCTACACAGAAAATGAAAACGATGTCCCCCCTGTCATAAGAGTGGATGATTTTCTTGGAGAGACTGGGAAGCTCCCAGACCTTATTTTTAGGTCACAGAAAAAATAAGGCCAAGACTTCACCATGTAAAGAGCTGTTTCAGGGGGACTTTCACAAACCAGTGTAATTCAACCTGACATCTGTTTCCATTCTGCAAGGTGAAAACAGATTTACTTTGCTCTGTTGGTATGGTGTGTCTCGGCAGCCAGGGTACAAACTATGATGCTATTTGCTCAGCAGTATGAATGCCAAGCTAGTTATTTTCTATTTTCTGTTAATTGCGATTAAGAGCTGCATAGTGGTTCAGCATGTCCATATTGAATGACTTCCTATAGACAAGGAGGGACACCTTCTGCTCTGGCCAATTGATCAATCAATCATCATGTTTACATTCCCATAATTCACAGCCACTGCCTGATCCTAAAAGATACCATATCCCTGAGATATCCCTGCACCTGGTATACATCTATCTGTTTGAACATCTGTGTGCACTGTATTCGTATGAATCATTGAAACAGCAAATGAGCCGCTGTACAATGTGTGGGACGTAATGTGGGTCAGTGCGTCACTTATTGACTGCATATACACATCCAGGAAAGGAAAGAGGAACAATATGATCCAGCAATGAATGGGTTGCCCAAAAGCACTTTGTATTTCCAGGAGCAGTTCTGTAGCTTGTCGTGCCATTATCATATTTATTTCTTGCTCTGCGCTATTGAAACAACTTTAATCCTTTCAGAAAACAGGCCGTGGCTGGGTAATTTCTTCTCTGTTATTTTTATCTGAGTGTCTACACGGTGATTTAATAGTAAATAAATTGGGAAAACAGGAACTTTCTAACCCAGTGTTTGAAAACCAGGAGGAAAGCTTGAACAGATCAATGTACAAGTCCTGTCTGGCTTTATCAATGTCTCCAAGCGCAGGCTGCAGGCCATCTGTTGCTGTTTTTTCCAGGATTACTGAAGCAGGCAGGCTCACTGGAGCATCCTGCGATTAAAAGGGACCGCAGTCTTCTCCCTTCCCTGCCCTGATGCCAGAATTAACGCCACAGAGCCTGTGCCACATTTTCACCCATAATCCCCAATCTCATTTCCTCTGGAACCTCTTCTGAACCCATTCTATAAGCCACGTTACACTTTGTGAAGATTAATTTGGAAAACAAAACACAAAATGTATACTTTAATCACAGATTTGGAGCAGAGATTGAACTTTGATGAAGGGCAGGAATGGTTACAGTGCAGGTTCTGGTTCTGAAACAGTGTTTCCTTGCTCAGGAGTGCATTCACAGAGATTTTGCCACAGCTACTTTTTAGCCTTGGGTTTTACTCAAAAGAGAGCAAAATGGATTCCATTCTGAGGAATCATGCTTGACTGTTTCTACTTTTACAGTATCTTGTTTTTGGTATTCAAAATCATGTTGCAAGCCTAGTGTAAGGTCAACCTGAAAGATGCATGTATTGTTTTGTAATTTCTGACCAGAATAATTCACCGAAGTATTGTACTGGCAGTGTGCATGAGTTCATAAAAGTTCACCCAATTCCTGTGCAGCTTCATTCCCCTGTGGAGTTATATAACTGGTCATGCCCAGTATGACAATATAATTACATATAATTATGTAATCTCAGATTCTGTGGGGTTGCACTGTTAGGGTTGCCTTGTGGAGGTCAGGGCAATGGGACTTGGAGAAGTAGACAGTGTTATTGCTTCCATAATAATAATTTTTGTTTAGCGAATGCTTTTATTCAGAGCGCCTTATAAGTACTGATGAGCTGTGTGTATCATTGTTTATTGGCATTTGCCCTAGAACAGAAAGTAGCGTCACCGCCATGGAATCGAGATAGCAGTGAATTCTCGGGTAGCACACCTTATCTTTTGGCATGGCGGACCACACCGTGATGTGGCTCCGTGGCTGCAGTGCTGGTGAGCAGCCTTGACCGAATCCTGCTGCGGCAGTTCTCATCAGCCAAAGGCAGGAAACTTTTCTCCTGCCCCGAAGCTAGTCTGCGGGGAATCGTCTGATGTTCATTGCGTCTGTTCTGAGAGTGTATGGTTCACTTGGAAAGCTAAAGGCTTATGACAAGCTGCTGAAGGAGACAGCATCAGTAATTAGAAGCGGGAGAGAACGTGTAAACATATTCTCTGGTCCTCATTATGGGTTCTGCAGATGTCTGTAGTTTCTGCCCGTGCTTCTGAGCAGAGCAGTGAAATTGTGTGCAAAATGGCCCAGAGGCATCTAAGAATCATTAGGACAGAGTTTTGTCTCCTTCTGTTCATACTAAATATCCAAAGAGACTTCACTTATAACTGTAAAAAAAAACTCAGTTGTGAAGAGGAAAATGACACATTCCTCTTCTGTAGCTGGTGTACTGATATTTTGTTGAATGGCCATGGCATAGGAAAGTTCGTCCTGCTGATTAACACAAGGCTTTAGTGTGAAATTCACAGGCTGGCAGCCTGTGTGGCCTCTTGTGGAGACAATACAAGGAGCACCTGCTTTGCACCAGGTTACAGATGCTGTCCTGTGGGAGTCCGTCCTATTCCTCTCATACCACCCACATGCTTGTTCACTGGTCTCTGAGCCCTAGGTGCCTCGTGTCATCCCAGATCATCCAAGTGTTCAATGGGCTTCTCTTCCAGGAACACTGCTGTTGCATAAGTACCATGAAAACATGCTTTTTACTGCTGAAAATGTTGATTTGCAGGATAAGCCCACAGGAGGGGCTGCAAAAGAGGTCTGAGAACTTGATTGGTGTGGTGATCTGTTGTTTCTGATGCTGCAGAAATGACAAAGTGAAAGTGATCACGAAAGTGATCAGGAGGACGCTGATATGTCCATCTTGATAGGTGTTGTGACTGGTGACCTTCCAGATCATGGTCTGTCATTACTGGGCTGGGTTTGACTGTACTATCAGCTAAGAGTAATATTAATATCACAGCAGTGCCCTGGTTTAGTCCAGCCTTACTGATGTCGCAAAGACATTGCTCTTTTGTTAAGCAGGGCCATATCAGTTCCTCTCTGTGTTTTTCATGATGGATTTTCAAAAGATGTGATATTCAACAGCCTAAACCACCTCAACAGCTGTGAATAATCACCTCTCTTTCTAATGAGGTGGTTTAACGCCTATGTCAACAGTCAAAATCACTTGAGTGTATCGTACCCTGTCATGATCAATGAAAATAATGCTAACAATCAATCTACAATCAATGTGTAATTCTGTCACTCTAAAAACATTCATTAATAATGTGATGTTACTTCACGTAATTAGTACATGCCAGTGTCAGTACAGTTCCATAGATAATACACCCTGTATAGAGGAGTTTGATTAAGTTTCAAGGTCTCTTATAAATTATACAGCAGGAGCACAAGAAAGTAAAATGTAATGTTCTTTTGAATTTGCATATCCATCTGGGAAGATCTCTTACCATTGCATTCTGTGGTAGAAATCTTGAAATATCCAGCTTCCCATGAGATGATACAGGGTTGGAAAACCTGTAGTGGATAAAACTGCTATGCAATGGGGAGTTGTATTTGCTATCTGGGATTAAAACAATTTGGGTAATAAGCTTTCATGATCTATTAAAGAATCATTAACTCCAAAAAGCTGCAGGGAGAATATCAAGGAAATACCTTTCAAACATTCTGTTGTAAACTAAAGCCTGCACACAACTTTGCTTTTCTTGGCTTTCAAAAAACTAACAGCACTGCATCTTGAAACACTATGTGAAATAATAAGCTTGGCAAGTGCATTTATTTTGGTGAATGAGACAAACGAAACAATGGGCATTTAGGTATAGTCAAAAAGAAAGAAAAAAGCATCGTGTCCAGTTGAAGTAAATGGTTTGTGGATTAGGTCAATCGTACATTCTCCGTGGTATCTGCACTCTTGCTTTCTTACCTTGATATGTATTAACTCAGCAGCAGCTGAGGTCCAGCATGCAGGAGAGGTGTGGCGCTGCGGATCAGAGATGCCACATCTGAGAGCCGGCACGCCTCCTGCAGCGTGGCGCTCCTTGTGACGCGGCACTGTGACGTCACCGCCCGCATGACCTCAGCTGTCTTGCACACTGGGTGCCGCGGCGTGAGCGGGCACGGGGTTTTTTTACCCTGAAAGACTGATGCAATTGTAATGCGCTCAGGAAGCTGCGGTTAGACCCTCAGCCACCCCCTCATTCACCAGCACCTCTCTGTCCTGAGATCCATTACAGCCAGGGAAAAACAGAAGATCAATAATCTCATTGAGAAGACGTGAGGTAACTACCCAAGAGACCCCTGCTACCATTATTGTGAATCGAGCCCTTCTGGAGGCAGAATTGATAATGGGGCTATTTATAGGCATGTTCTACAGTCCCTGGATAAACAAGCCATCTTATCTTGCTTGTAATTGCTCATCTTCTTGTTTCCCATTTTGATGATGCAGAGTGAGGAGGTCAGATGTCTTGACTCATCTGTGTTGTCTGGCTAAAACATTAAAACCTGTCTTTCAGTGATCCTTAACGTGACTGGAACAGAAGGGATGATTTCTGTTTTTTTTACGTGTGACTATTACAGATGCCGGTGTAACACGATGTGATTGCTTTAGCTTTAAAGCGTTTTTTTTAAGTCAATGCTTTGAATCTCTGCTTCTCAAACATGTCCTCTGCCCAGTGATTCCACTTATTAAATTTTTTTATGCACTAAAAGACAATAGTTATGTTGTAATGATTCCTAAATTGGAACACTTAATTGTATTTTAGCTATTGAGATCTGAATCTTATTTTTGAAGAATGTAAAGAATTGAGCACCGTATGTTTTTGTTATTTAAAAATAAAACTACTATAGCCTTAACCTAAGGACATTCAGAATATCAATCCAATGATCTGAAACATTTTAGAATGAATTTCAGTTTTCACTGCTGTAATCAAGGCAATCCAAAATACTTTTCCCTCTAGTGGTCAGAGGTGGAATATTCATGCGTCGTGGTGCCACTCAACTGTTTCAACAGAAGATCACAGAAGCATTTCATGCCATGCTGCTGTTTTAATTCATGCATGGAACAACAAACAAAAAGAGTCAGTCTAGAAATTAGCTGAAAGTGTACTTTGATTTGCATGCACTTAGGTGTTTGACTTTTTGTGCAAAGGTTGCGTTATTCCTAAAAGATGGTGTTGGTAGAATGAGGCAGAGTTTTTTGTCTGGCTTTCGTGCCGCAAATATTTGTTCACCGTAGATCACTCACAATTGATCGTAGATACAACTCTGCCCTGCTACTTCATGGTACAAGCAGTGAGGGGTAGCAGTGTGGGCTCTGGACTCCTGACAAGAGCACCCTGGTGCAGTCAGAGGCCATGGGTTCAAATCTCAGAATGGAAGGTTCCTGCTGTTGCCCAGAGTTTTCCAGCAAACCCAGCTGCGTACATTGGAACCAGGATTTGTATGTCGTTCGTGGTAATCTCTGTAAAGCACCCTGAATACAAATTCCAGACAAGTGATATAATCTCCTTATTAATGGTGACAATAAAAATGTGCTTTGGAATTAGTGCTTGCTCTCCTGCTGCAGTAGGTGGTCCTAACTTTCCTGAAAGCTTCCATTCGGTTAACATTCACATGAAAATGATGCACAGTGTGAACGTAAATGATTCAAGCTGTGTGTCCGGCAAACGAGACTGGGAGAGAATAGCTTAGGTCCGTGTGCTTTACGCAGCATCACTGTCAGACAAAGTGGTCTTCCCGTCTGTCCACAGCTGAGACAACAATTCTGAAACAAGGAAAACAGTCAGAGGCATCGGCCCGTTGATTCTTTTGCCCATCACTGCCAGCTGTTCCTCACTTACTCCTTTTTTTACAGGATTTGTGAAAGGTTTCATGGTGCCATCGGGAAGGGGCTATTTGGAGAAATGAATCATTTTTTGCACTTACAAATAGCACGGGAAAATCAAGCTGAGGGTGGCTTTGAGTTAGAAAATGCGGTGCCAATGTAGAAGAAAATAAAATTATACATTTGACCTGAAGGAGGTTTAGGAAAAAGAGGGTATGCCGCTGTATGACAAAGAAAATTTTTGCATGTGGAGTATAATTAGATAGGCTCCAGTGCTGATCTCATCGGCCCAACATAACCCCCCTACAGTAAAATACATCAGCCTGTTTTTTGATTCAGCCCGTGTACTGCATGCTGCAACAGCAGTATGTATGTGTATACAGGTCCCTAATTCCAGCCATTCTTTGTAAAGGTCTTGGGACTGAGAGAGAAGATAGGGTGCAGGTGAGAGTTGGGGCTTTGTCTCATCTTCTTGTGCAGATCCTCTCCATCTTCAAGGGGGTTGTTTTTCATTTAAAAGCAGTTGGGGGGGGGGGGTTGTTCCCCAGCTGCCAAGATATCAATCTCTCATTTTTCTTTTTTTTTATCATCCTCTGATCTGAGAGCAAGAGAATTTACAAGCCCAAGCTGGAGTCCACTTGGACTCTGCTGATTCAAGCTTGATACGGGATGTGTGAGCGATCTGCGAGTTGCTCTGTTCGGCCCTGCTTGTTATAAATGTGTGTCCAAGCCAGGAACACTCCAGCATCAACCCTCCTTCATACCAGGTGCCAGCGCAACGCCTGCAGTTTCCATATTCTTCTTTCTATTTTAAAGCTAGTAACCACAATTACAGTTTTATGTCATGTAGCTAAAACCTCTTCTTACCTCTTGCTTACAGTAATTCTGTGGAGAGTAAGACGGAAAGAAAGTGTCATTTCTTAGCTGTTTATTTAAGCATCTTTATCACTGAATTGGACTTGAAAGGGAAACAAACCTCAGTCAGACTTAAAGTGCTCCAGTTTTCACCCCCCACTGTAGTGCAAATATCTGGACCAATAGCCAAACAGCAACCAATCAATTAAGATGGAGAAACACAAAATCTGTTAATTGAAGTTGCAGGAAAATTTTCTCTAACTTTCTAAAGCCATGTTTTTGGGTAAAAGAATGTTATACCACCAGTCAAATAAAGAACAGATTTCTAAACACATCTTCTCTCCAATACAAGAACCATGATAAACAAGAACTGAGACGAACAACCATGAATTATAGTTACAGTATTTTACCTTAGTTATCTGTGAACTTTAAATCATCAATGTATTGACAAAAACCATACCTTATGGTTAAGTGTATAATTGCTTGTTTGTATTAGACAGTTTAAAAACCAAATGTCCTGCAATACTATGTTAAGTAGATAGTTGCAGGGTCAAAATACTTTGAAGAATATAAAAAAAATAAGAGTGAAAGAATGAGTTAATGAGAAGAATTAGATAATTGAACACTGAGGACGGTTATAGATGGCAAAATTAATGACAATACCAAACTTTACTTTGTTGTGCAAACAGTGAAAGTATGACACGGTGAACTCCAGTTTCACCTTTCTGGACTTCAGGAATCAAGAAGAGGAAGACAGAGCTGACTATCTGCGCCTGGGGCACATACAGAGTTGTCATGATCCCAGCAGCGGTGATGTCTCTGTCTACCTACAGTGTCTGTCTTACAGAGTGACCTGGGTTTTGCTTCTGCCTGCCCCTCGCAGCAAAAAACACTGCAGTTCATAGGCCTGTATCTTGTTTTTAGGCCTCTCCTCATGTGTTTTTTTTTAAGGCGATGAAAATAAGCTTGTGAGGGCTGACAGTGCCAAATGACTCTGGCATGACGTTATCCTCCAGCATTCCTTCTGCTCTCTCTGGAAGAGAGCTGACTGTTCTCTAACCTCTGCTGTCTTAAAGGGGCCTCGTGGCCGAGATAAACCAGGACTGACAGCTGTGGACTGGGCAGGCATCTGGTTTGTCAGTGCTGCTGTCTTGTTCAGCCAGACAGGTTCGGGAGGTGGTTTGCTTGTAACCCACTTCCCCGCCTGCTTTCTTGCAGTCTTTGCAGCTTGTTTTAATGTTCTTTCTCTCTGCTTTCCCCCCAAGACTAAGGAGAAATCGCAAATGGTTTTTCTGCTTTGGCATGAGCATATGTACAGAAGAACTCAATTTGTTAGCAGAGCTACTTCAGTGAAGGCAGAGGGCTCGAGTAACTGGCCTCTGCACCAAACTGAACAATTAGTGAGAAAAGGTCTTTTCAGTAATGTCTTCTAATACATAGTTCACTGTAGTAGGTATTTACACAGCACATTATGTTGCATTCCACTGCTGTGCTTTGATATGGTCAGGGCATTCCTTTGGGTTGCAGGTGTTTGGTCTCCTAGCCTGATGGGTCAGAAGGGAAAAGACTGCCTGGGCAGGAGTAGGCTGAAGAGCCCTGGTGATGATCTATTGATCAGCCACTTTGGAAATGGCTCTGCAGCTCATGGTGGTCCAGTGTGACTTGAGAAGGGGGCAGTCGTGTAGTGTTCTAGACATCTGACATCCTCCTTGCTGGAAAAGCAGACTTCTATCCTGGTGATATTTTAAATACATTTATTGTCATGATTAGTCTTTGGCTAGTGTTTGTTCTCCTAAACCATGATTACACAAGGTGATGTGCTCATAAATGTGTTCATGTTTATTCATTAGGAACTGGGAAGTGGTAGAACTCCAAAGTAGACTGGTGTGGTCCGAAATACCTTTTTGTGTGGTTTTATTTACAGGGTTTTTTAGCTTTAGATTAATGTCTTGCACTGACTCACTTAAACTTGTGCATTAAGCAGTCTTGAGATACAATTTTTTTAATTGAACCTTTCAGACATGTGCTATGCTAACTGCTGCAAATCAAATACTGATTAAACTAGACACTTTTAATGCCTTCCTCAGCTCTGTAACACAAAGATTCCCTCACATGTGTTTCAGAACTCAAATAGCCTTCATAAGTGCCTGCAGGATGGCTGCCCACATTGATCTGAACTTGTCAAGACATTTCGTGTTTCCTTGCAAAGAGGTTTCATGTGTGCAGTAATGTTGCACCCAAATCATAATCATGTATTATATGTTAAAAATGACAAGCCATAATGCTGCCAAACCTTTCTGCTTCACCCTTTACTGTTTTCTGTGTTTTCGAGAGCACCTAGCTAAAAAAAAGTAACTCTGTTTTCTGTGAGCCGGAAGTGACAGGTAAGATCCCGCCAAAGAAAATAAGATAATTATAGCAACTGTGACTTCTGGGATTATTGCTCTTCTTTAAGTTTCTGGGCTGCAAGCTGAACAGGTCCTGCATTGATGGGCTGTGTGTCTAATTGAGCTTGAAAACAAATGACTTTATCCTTGTAAATGCTTTCCTAATAAGCCTGACAGGAGAGGAAAATGAGACAGTGCATCTCATCTCAGCCATCCCTGGAGCTGAAATGACTTCAAGAGAACAAAAAAGAAAACTGTCCCGGAGCCAGAACTTGAAAGGCAATATTCCGATTTCTCGCTGCTAACTGAAATAGAACTGCGTCTCTGGGATTTAACAGTGCATGTGTGGCATTCTTGCACGATGTTGAGTGCTCCTTCTGGTCCGGTTACTGCGGTAACACAACACAATTATCATGCCATCTCAAAATGGAGCAGAGAATCTCCCTGACAGCTGCACTCTGGGAGTTAGCAACCAGAAGACCCTGATTACCATCTCTCCCTCTCCGCGTTCTCCTCTTTCCCTCTAACAAGATAACAAGAATAAACAAAATTGCTGGCATGTATCATGCATGCCCTGTCTAGCACGACAGTAGCAAAATTAAGCAAAAGCATTTCTAACACCTTGGTTATTTCATGGCTTTGCTTTCATTTTTTTTTCAGTTTGCATTTGACACAGATTTGGAAATTGTTGGCTACAGTTTTCCAGAGGCAGAGTGGTGTTATCTTTGAAAGCAGTACTGAAACACACTTTTTCCATGCTTTTATGCATTCAGTCCAAAAAAGTTTGTTGAATGCTGTTTTTAAAAAGTCATTAATCCCAGCCTCCTCATCAGTCTCATTTGTCTGTCTGTAATGAAGAGCAAATCTTTTTTGCCTCACAGAGCACAGAGCACAGGGTGCAAGGTGCAACCATGCCCTCACTGGATTGCCAGTCCGTCACAGGACACATAGGGACATTCACTAATACATGAATACCAGGAGTTCATTTAGGGATACTCATTAACCTGGACAGTATGTGTCACTATGATCATACTACCAGATATAAAGAACCTTAGGATGTCCATCAATGCAAACACCAGTTGGCTGTTTTCTGAATTGGAGAAGGACAGTCACACTGAAATGAAAATTCCTGTGGGCAACAGTCCATTTACAGAACAGTGTATTTTGTGCTGTGCTCTTAAACGGAGATGTCACTTGATTTCTAATGTCTAATTTGTAGTTTAATGTCCAAGAATGAGTGCATAATGTAATACTCTATTGTTGGGTGAGATTTCTTTGTGCACATTCCCCATTATCATTTAAAAACATAAACAGGATATCATGGCCTTTGGACTATACCTCTGAAAAAATAACATTACAAAGGAGTTAAGCGTTGGTTTGTTGGAAAGAGCTGCCTTTTTCCAGCTCTGTGCAGCAGAATGACCAATCTGCAGTGATGCTCAAAACCTCCAAAATAGGTGCTAGTACTTTGCAGGCTTTCTAGAGCAGCACTGCTGGAAGAGTTGTGCTCTCCCTCCGCAGGAATCTTCCCAGCTCTCCTCGCTGGCGTTGCCCGTGACGCAACCCAGCAACTCATTTCCTGATAAAGAGCTGAAAGTTTCCATCCCGATGCTGCTAAATTTGGATTGCCAGTACAGTCCAGGGCCTGTGTAAGAATGCAGACTTTGTCACAATTTCAAATAATCAACAATTCCCGTTAGCTCATCCTAACCCCCCCACCCCCCAACACTCACATACACACTCCCCACGACCACCTCCCTTCCTGATCCACTGAGCTCTTGCATTCCTGCTGGACTTGGAGCACAGTGTATAAATAAACCTTCGAATGCTTTCCCCTAAAATTACCGGAGTCCCCTCTCTCACAGAGCAGCAGTGTTTGTCGCCTTGTATTGTAGAGGGTCATCTGTACGTTCGCCCATCCTCAGTAATGAGGGAAGCAGGTATAGGGGGGAAATGGCTCTTTCTGAGGAATACAAATACCCCTTGTTCACCTCACCTTGTATGGTTAGGTGGTTCTTTTTATCCTTCTGTAAACGATCAGGCTGAAGGAAGGTGTGGTTTCCTGAGGTGTTCAGAAAAAGAAACCCTGACATCCTTGAAATTCAGGAATGCTCGACAAATGTTCAGCATTAACCATCATACTCTTTAGTGTAAAACTGAAGTTTTCTTTTTTCTTGCTTCATCTGAATCTTCAACGGCATTTGAGAACGTGCGAAACAGGCATCACCACACTGTGCTCACTCACCTCTGTGAGGGATTCTTTGATCCCACAGCCTTCGTTAGAGTCTTTATAATTTGCCAGAATATGCACATTGGCTTTTGTGAAGGATGCTCAGCACCATTGTCTCTCTAATGGCCTGAGGGCCTGTACAGAGATTGCTCGGGGCCATTGCTAGGTCTTGACAAAAGAAAATGTTATCTTGACAGAAGCTTCAATTTAGTATCTTACATAATTGGCGACTAAATCACTTCTAGTTGTAGCCATTGTAATCCCTGCAGTTAAATCCCTCTCTTCACACATATAGATCACTGTTGGAGACAACAAAGCTATGTTATTGTTTGTTTCCTTCAAAGCTATGTTTCCAGAAAGCCTCATTACAAACATTGTCTTGCAGAATGGCTCTCAAACAGACATTTTTTTTTCCCTTAAAAATACCCTACTGGTCTGACAGCATTGTCGTCATGTAATTTCTGGAATTGAAAGTTCATTGCCTGAACAAAGCAGTGGTTAAAAAAGAGAATTGATCTTTTGTGGCAGTTTTTTTCATTTTCTGAGTAAGGAGCAAATGTTTACTGAATCATTGTGCTTCCTCTTTGGCGACAGCAGTAGTGTGCTCACTGGACTGAAATGCGCACAGGATGAGCATGATTCAAGCAGAATTATAAACAACACTGGCCAGGTTCGGCAGCTATTTCCTTATTGCAGGGACTTGACTACACCCTCACTAAAAATGGTGAAATAAGGTTTGTTAAGGATGAGAAAGCTAGAAGTGGTTGGTCAAAGCTGATCTCTTTCTACTAGCTTGTGCCTGATCCCCAGAGCTGTGAAGAATATGCTCTCCTCACATTTTGAGATGACTACAGTCCTATTCCCCAAGGTTCTGTAATGGACTGTTTTGGGTTTTCTTGGTGACATATATCCTGTTATTCTCTGCAGGATTTTGGGAGTTAAAATATTATCAGCGCTCTTTCAAGCGCGAGAACATACTGGCAGTTAACAAGATGAATGAAACGCAAGTGTTTTCTTCAATCCCTCCGACACAAGTCTTTGGTTTCTCTCCCCAGATTGCTTGATGAAATGATATTTTTCACACAAAAAAAAGAATTATCCCGTACAGCATCTCTTACCGGAAAGTCCAAATCCTCATACTTTTTTAGAATGCGAAAAACAAAATACCAATAGATAGGCATTGTTACAGTACAATTGTCACAAATGAAAACATCATGCACAAATGCAGCAAATCCTCTACAGCACGTGTCTTTAATTTAAATGCTTCCTGACAATACAACAAAATGGAACTGCATGCTGCTTGAATCTGCTGTTACATAACAGTGGGATTTTCCTCTCTTCGAAGGGAGAGTAGTATTGTGAAACACTTGGAGTTGCCCTGCTTGAATCATAGGGGAGCCTGGCATCAATTAAGATCACTGGAAAACTGGCACAGATGTTTGTTTTAAAAAATTACAGCTTAAACAATTACAACTCTTGCCATACTATTTTAAGGACACAGATAAGCAGCTCATTTAAGGGTTTTTCATGCAGGCGTCAGAACTGCAGAGTGAACTGATTAGTCCTCAGCCCCCCAGAAGATACAGTACCTACAACCCATGTTCTTCTCACCTACCTGGGCATTCCTGCTTTCCTCGTGTCCCACCCTTAACCTCCTCTCCGTACCACAGATTCTACGTCTGCAAGAAAGGACTAATTTAATCTTGTATATAACCTGTATTGGCAAATACATAAGAGCACTCTCACCTAGTGCCCATTGAGCTGTTTCACCTGAAAGGTGGCATGGGAAGACCATCGTTTGGACATCAGACAGCAGATTTCCAGTGCCGATCCCAGAAGCACTGGGCTCAAGAAAGGCCTTGGAGATCATTATGAGACGCCATTCCTGCTGAGGGTATGGAGAAAGAGACGATTCAGCCAAGCAAGTCATTGTGTGATGGAAGAACTCCACCCACATGGTGCTTCAGCCTGGACTCAAACAGGGTCCAAGATCTTTGAAGCAGCAGAGCTGACCCTTACTCAGCTAAGCTGCTCAGCCATGTGAAGATAAGGAATAAAAGAATTTGATCTTTCCTGAAGACCCTAGTATTCTTGCAAGTTACTATTGTATCAGCCTTGGCAGGTATCAGGCATCATCACTAAGCTGGGAAATTCGTTCTTTGAGACAGTAACTTATAGGTGAATGCGTTTTGTGATTGTGTTTGGAGAAAGTAAGTCAGTCATTTCTGTAACTCAGTTTTTTTATTATTTTGTATTTGTGTTTAAAAACAAAAATGATTAAATACATTTTAAATAATTTTAAATAATAATGGGGTTTCCACATCTTTGTCTGCTTAGTGGACACATAAAGAGATAAAATAAATTTATTCACACTCAAAGCTAAGGGGTTTAGCTTCAATTTAAGACCTGAACCAGGCTTCTGCTGCTGGTATGCTATGTTCTGATGCAGAGATATAACAAAATATTTTGAGGGGAGAAAATTCTAGGTGGAAATTGGCTCTGATGGCCAAAGTCACTAAGTCTTTAACCACCCTCTTAAGAAAGGTAAACAGGACAGAATATTGCCCCCATTTCCTGGTTAATTAAGTTTTACTCTAAAGAAAATAAAGTTGAATTTGAAATTTTATTGGAGGTGAAAGACAACAACAGTATCTTGTGACTGATTTGAGATATTACAATTAGTTATTTTAATCCAAGTAAGAACTAAGAAATACCCTGAGTGATGTAACATCGATCCATTCTGATCAGAGGCATCTTCCACAGCAGAGTGTCCTCAGTATCAG